TAATTTTCACCAAGAAATAACTGATGCTATTCACTGATTTTTCAAATTGACTGGAAGTTTCTTGAGATCAAGACCTGTGAGCTCGGAACACAGAAGATACCAACTTTAATGTTAATCAACAATGTGGAGAAGAGTTGATGAAATAGCATTCTAAGTGGGAGTATGATTAAGGTGAGGAATTTTCAAAAGGCCAAGAAAGAGCTCCTCTTGGAGGAAGAATTCCAGCTAGCTCTGATTGGAACTGGAGAAAAAACACAGGAAAGAATGAATTTGCTTTGACTCAATGTTTCTCCAAAGTTTAATCCTGAATTCTGTCATATCTGAACAGACTTGCAATTTTTTTCCTTAAAGTTTCTCATTTTCAGAAAAAGAAATGATGCTGCTTTATTTTAGTGCCTCTTAATAATATCCATAGAATTCTGAATTTGTTAAAATAAGCTTATTTTTCTTGTAATACCCATTCAAATAAATGCACGCCTGATAAAGTTTTAGAGGTATTTAAGTGTTCTAAGAAGTCAAGCCATGAGGCAGCACTGGATTTGACCACTAACTGGGTCCCTAGGGGATAGGAGGAAAGATAGTAGGGCTCATTTGTAAGGGAAGGATTTGGTTCTCTGATGAGAAAGTAAAGGGGACCTATTTAGCCTGTCAGCCTTCTAGATTAAGTGTTGTGGGTATGGGACAAGGAAGGCACCAGGTCTGCTTGGGAAAAGCTGGCCATCGAAGGGCAAGGACAAGATGTCAACAAGGATGCTGGAGCCCCAGTTATGCCAATCAGCAAATATGGCTCCAGGAGACCAGAGAAAGTGAGACCAAAGTTAGAGGTCGTGTTTCCAATCCCTCATCATGTAGCAGTGTAAAACAAGGCTGCAGTGTAAGAGAATATGACCAAGGTCAGTTTATGGTGTGCATAAGGACAAGGGTCAAATACCCAGGTTGTCCAGAGCTGGGGATCTGCCACATGTTAATATTCTATTGAGAATATTTCTATTGAGGGGCCAGTTGGAAAGTCCTTGAGTACCTAGTTCAGTGTGTGCCTAAGGAAAAAAAGAAGCTCAGTGACATGATTGAAAGGCCAGCATGGATATAAACAGGAACAGATATAAAGCCTTAGTGGATGCTGATTAGTGAGCATCCTCTTTGGATGCTCAGTTGGATCAAGAAGAGCATCTCTGATTGAAACAAAGCAACTATTAAAGAGAAATTATGAGACAATTAGGGAAATTTGAACATCAACTTAGTATTTGATGATATTAAGGGAACATTTCTAAATTTTAAAGGGATGATAATGATGTGGTTCTGTGAAATGATGCACATTGATGCATTTATGAATAAAAACATGATTTCTCTTTGCATTAAAATAATCATGTGGTGGGGGATGGTTGTGGAACAAGTGTGGCCTTGATTTGATTGCTGGTGAAGCTGGGTAAGGAGTAAGTGGAAATTTATTTGATCATTCTTTCTCCTTTCATATATGTTTGAAATTTTCCATAATAAAAAGTTGAGGAAAACCATCTTGATTCTCAAGTTACTGGAAGTCCTTTGGCAAATCCATGGTAATTTCCCAAGTGTGTGCTTTATACATGTAAGTTCTGGGAACCAGAAGTGGGGGTTTGTGTCTAATCCAGTGTAGTAGGGCTGGTTATAGACTTCTCTGAGTTTCAGTCTGTCTGTAAAACGGGAATACAGGTTGAGTATACCTTATGTATAATACATGGAAACAAATGTTTCAGATTTTGGATTTTGTAAAATTTTGGAATATTTGCATATATACAATAAGATATCTTGGGAATGGAACCCATGTCTAAACACAAAATTTATTTATGTTTCACATATATTTTATACATATGTCCTGAAGATCATTTTATACAATATTTTTAGTGGGCCCATATTTTGACTGCAACTTTTATTGCATGAGATCAGGTGTGGAATTTTCCACTTGTGGCATCATGTTAGGGTTCAAGAAGTTTTGGATTTTGAATTTTTGGATTAGGAGTGCTCAACCTATTATAATATTTTATGTGCCAGTGTTGTGAGGATGAAATGAATTCTGTATGGAGAATGCTCACCTCAGGATCTTGTGTCTCGATATTTGTTTCCTACTTCCTTTTCCCTCTCAGAACTGGGATAGGCACTAAACTACATCTTCTCATGGTAATATCTTCAGGAGTTAGATCTTGCTGAGATGGAGCCTTGCATGCGTTCTGATGCAAGAATAGAGAGGTATTTCCTTACTTGGCCTTGGCTAGTCATCCCAGAAATCTGGAATTCAGGGGCCTTAAACTTTTATTGGAAAATAGTCTGGACTATCCACAGTGAGGTTCATTCTGATCACAGACTCAGCCACAGGAGTCCTTTATGCTTCCCTAATTGAGAAATGTGAAAACCATGGAGGCTAAATTTATTGAAATGAAATAAGGTTCTGCTTAAAGAATGCCCTTGCACCTTTGCTACCTGGAAGATTGAGCTTACTTTTACTGAGTTAATGATATGTACTTATTGAAAAGTTAATGGTATAGAACTGTGTCTTCTATTTATTTAGCTTTTTGCATCTTAAAGAATTCTAACTTTATATGCTGTGTAAATTGCCTCTCTCTCTCTCTCTCTCTCTCTCTCTCTCTCTTTCTACACACACACACACACATACACACACACACACACACACTGCAGATAATTTGTTTTCTACCTTCTGTCTCTGTAAAATTGTGAAAATCACCCAAGAAATGAGGAGTTGATAATATCTGGAAAGCATTTTTATGTACTTGCATGAAATGCTTTGGATGGCTTTAGAAGTAACTATCGTGATCTTATATTTATTTAATTCATTGTTGCCATGGTTGTCTCTTCTCCAGTGTGTATTACACCTGTTCACGTCTTTCTGAATACATCTCATAGTTCTTGCACTATTAAAATCTGCTTTTCTCAATGATAATAATATCTTACATTTCTAAGGCACTTGGTAATTTAAAGAACATTTTTGTCTCTGTTATTTGCTTAGTTCATAACAGTGGTGCTGTGAACTAAGCAGGGTACATATTATTATCTGCATTTTACAGATATATTTCATTGACTTTTTTTTTAATAGTATAGGGGATTGAACCCAGGGACTCACATATACCTGACAAGTACTCTGTCACTGAGCTATATCCTCAGCCCATCATTGATTTTCCTTGTTAATATTTTTTTTAGTTGTAGATGGACCAATACCTTTGTTTTTTATTTATTTTTATGTGGTGCTGAGGATCAAACCCAGTGCCTCACACATGTGAGGCAAGCACTCTACCACTGAGCCACAACCCCAGCCTCCATCATTGACTTTTAATGTTGGAAGGTGCCTCTAGGATCACAGAGGTTGATTCGCTATATTTTACTGGTGAAAAATCCAAGTCTCAGAGAATGTGAGACAACCTCCAGCTTCGAACTGCTCACCAGTGACAGAACCTGAACCAGGTCTTGGCCCCTCTCTCTTTAATCTTGCTCTCTTAGAGGTGTCCAAACCGCATCATCCAGAATCATGTAAGGGAGCTGGTTAGAAATGGAGATTTCTGGCCCCCACTTCAATATGTTGAATTAGATTCCCAAATGGAAGGCTCAGAAATCTGCATTTAAAACTCATTCAGATTATGCTTGGAACTGCAAAAGCCATTAAGCTTTGCAGATCCGGGTCCTCTTTTTATGCTGTAGTTTTGAGGTTCATGGCCACCACCATGAGAGCCTCTTTATAAATTCCTTAGTGCCCTTTGTGTCTTCATTCCTACGGGTCCAACTCTCAGCACTCAGTGATCTGTCTGGGATGGTGCTCGTCTCTCCAAAATGAGCAGCTAGACTTTGTTTTGAGCCCTGCACTGTGTTGAGGGCTGAGATGGATGTTTAAAGGGCAGTGGTCAGGACAGACTCCAAGATGCTAAGAGAGGAGGATGAACCTGAGTGGTCCAGAGGAGAAGGGAGGGGGGTGATCAACATCACCCCATCTTAAACACAGTGATTTGGATAGCTATCAGGGTGATTCATGCTATCCCTCTGCTCATGCCAATTGCAAGCATACACCTGTAGCTGGGGTAGCTTGAGAACAATATTTGTTCTTTTAGGGTGACAGAAATGTGACAGAATTCATGCTTAGTGATTTTGTGCATGATCTTTTTTAAGACTTCAAATATCTCTGAATCAAGGAGGTACCATTATGTCCCACTTTGAAACTGTCGCTCAAATTACTTGATTAAATTCTTGTGACTGACAAGTGGTAAGTCCAGCACTGTAAATATTTGGTTGCTTCTAAAATCGATACTTTAGCCTCCACCATATACATCTGAATCACATTAACCTCTAATTAATATGGATTTTATATTTGTACACTTGCCTATTCACCAAGATTTGCTTGTAACCCCAGAATCAATACTTATAGCACTTCTATGGCCATTGGACATACAGAGTAGTGCATGTGGTCTGTAGCAGAGACTCCAACGTGGGGACTTCTTGTTTGAACTCTCATACTGGAACATAGAGCTCTTTAGGTAGAGTTGAAGGTGCTATCTATTGTCCCTAATCACAAGAAGCCTTTGATGGAGAAAACACGGTGTTTGTTAAGTCTTGTTCCAGCATGAATGACGGTGCTGTTAATGATGTACTCCATCTTAACGAATCAATCAAACATATTCATTAAGACATCTTTAAACAGAAACACACATAAAACAAGGTTATGTATTGATCAGTTGTAACTGGAGGCTCACAGGAACCTAGTCCTGCACTTCCCCTGGGGACAATGGTTCAGAATTTATCAATTCAAGGTTGGAGATGACTTTATACAACAAAACTACCAAGAATAACAAGGGTTGGCTCTATTTCCTTATGAGGACCCCAGGAGGAAAAAATGTCCCCAGGGACCAGGAGCCTATTAGACTTGCAGGGTTTATTGGGGGGGGGGGGGGGTCCTGGGCCTGTCCACTAGCTCTGGGTGTGTCCGTCCCTCCATTAACACTGGACTTCCCTGTTCTCTCCCACAGAGGGGCACTGCTGAGCCCTTCCTAAGGCTCCACAGCCTGTACTCCACCCCTCGCTGTTCGCGGCAGGCCCAGGCGGCGCAGGGCCGCCGGGTGGTCAGCCAGCACTCCTACCCGCTCAACCGCTTCTCCTCCGTGCCTTTCGAACCCATGGAGCGCCCCACCTCCCAGGCGGACCTGGAGCTGGATTACAACCCGCCGCGGGTGCAGCTCAGTGACGAGATGTTCGTGTTCCAGGACGGAAGGTGGGTGAACGAGAACTGTCGCCTCCAGTCCCCTTACTTCTCTCCTTCTTCCTCCTTCCACCACAAGCTGCACCACAAGAGGCTGGCCAAGGAGTACCTGCTGCAGGAGGAGAACCGGGCCCTGCGGGAGGAGAACAAGGCCCTGCGGGAGGAGAACAAGAGCCTCCGCAAGGAGAACAAGATCCTGCAGGTCTTCTGCGAGGAGCACAAGGCCGCCCTGGGCCGCGAGGAGAGCCGCGCCTCCTCCCCACCGCTGCACAAGGACAACGCGTCGCTGGAGGCGGTCAAGAAGGACAACGCGGCCCTGCCGTCGCAGTGCAGCAAGGAGAACAGCACGCTGCAGCTCCTCCGGGAGGAGAACCGAGCCCTGCAGCAGCTGCTGGAGCAGAGGCAGGCCTACTGGAGCCAGGCCGAGGACAAGAGCACCTCTGTGGAGGACAGCAAGCCAGTGCCCTCCCCCCACCAGGAGCCGCACGGGCCTGGACTGCTGCCCGACCAGAGCCCGGGCCTTTCCTCTCCCTTTGAAGAGCCCAAAGGACCCTCGAGCCCGCAAGAGGACTCCAAGACGCTGCGGGCCTTGAGGGAGATGGTCAGCAACCTGTCGGGGCCTTCCAGGGAGGACGAGGGCAAGACGGTCACAAGCCTGGTGGGTGGAGAGCAGCCCCTGCAGCTGATGAGAGAGATGAGCCAGGCGCTGCAGGCCCTGCGCGAGGAGAATCGGCTCTTGCAGGAGGAGAACAGGGCCCTGCACGTGCTCCGCGAGGAGCACCGCGTCTTCCAGGAGGAGAACAAGGCCCTGTGGGAGAACAATAAGCTGAAGCTGCAGCAGAGGCTGGTCATCGACACGGTGACAGAGGTCACCGCCCGCATGGAGATGCTCATCGAGGAGCTCTGTGCCTTCATGCCGTCCAAGAACAAGGACCTCAAGAAGCCCAGCAGGGTCTGAGGCCTTAGCAGTGGACAGGGACACGAAGTTCAGGGACAGAACACCACACCGGGCAAAAGAAAATCCCCCTCTTTCCCTCGTTGTCCTTGCCTTTACCCACCAGTGTGTGCCTGCTGCAGAGAGGCATTAAGGGACCTCCTAAACTCAGAGAAGAAATAAAGGCCTAGGAGGCTGGGATTAGCCAACACCAGCATGCCACTTTGGCTTCTTTTCCTTTTGCAAAAAGTAGAATTGTTTAGAGCAATTTTAGGTTCATAGAAAAATTGAGCTGAAGGTACAGAGCTCTCATATGCCCCTGGCCCTCTCGCATGCACAGTTCCCCCACTACCAACATCCCCCACCAGAGTAGTATGTTTGTTAAAACTGATGAACCTACACCGATATATCATTATCTCCCCAAGTCCGCAGCACACTTTAGGATTCCCTTTTGAAATTGTGTATTAGGTTTGGACAGTGTATGACATGGCCACCACTGTAGTATCATACAGAATGGTCTCACTGTCCTACAGTTCTTTAGTCATCTTACCTCCAGCCTCTGGCAACCACTGTCTCCAGAGTTTTGTCTTCCCTAGAACGATGACGTGTAGTTGGAGTCATCCAGTAGGTAGGGGAGTGGGATGGGGTGCATGCAAAAGCTGCATGCAAATTGCTTTCTTTGACTTCAATATGCATTTAATTTCCTTCATGCCTTTTTGTAGATTGATAGCTCATTCCTTTTTAGCGCTGAATACCATTCCAGTCTATGAATGTACCACAGTTTATTTACCCATTTACCTTCTGAAGGACACCTTGGTGGCTTCCAAGTTTTAAGAATTATGAATCTACTTTCTTTTTCTTTTCTCCCCCAGTCTCTCTCTTTTGCCTTTACTGTTTGTTTTTATTTCCTCCTTTCTTCCTTCCTCCTTTTCTGCTTCCTCTTGTCTTTCTTATCTCCTATTTCTGAGGCTATAGCATTGAGGGAGAAGAGATCACTCTAACTTGGGGCTTCTCAACTGTGTCACTAGACATTTGGGAATGCATACCTCTTTGTGTTAGGGACTGTCCTGTATGGTATTCTCCAGCATCCCCGGCCTCTCCCCATCAGATGCCACTTAAGGCCAACTGGCCCACAGCTAAGGCAAATACGTCTCTAGAGATTGTCAAATATCCCCTGGAAAGCAAAATCCTAACACTGCCCCAGGGCTCTCAAAGTACAGCCCTTGAAACACAAGTCCATGAAATGCTCTGAGAAAACAAAGATTTCTACAGGGGCAATCCTATTACAATTCTCTCCATCAGATTCATAACTCTCTGACTTAAAGCATCTGAGACATGCTACAAAGTTATCTGCTTATTTTGGGGGAACCCAATTTTTTTATTGGATTTTATTGGATTCCAAGGGAATCCCTCTTTATATTACTTTGTTGATAACCAAGTTTTGGAAGGGGTGCTCTCTGCTCTCCCTGACCCTAGGCTCACCTTTATACTCCTGGATTCACACTTTCCACTTGGATTCAAGAGCTTGGACAGGTGGCTACCAGGCTCATTGAATGAAGGTATAGAGGCTCAAGATTGGGTGTCTTGGTCTTTTTGAAATTTCTCATTTTAAAGTTGAACATACTTTAGAACAAGAAGTTGAAAGGTAGCCTCAGGCAACTAAAGAGCGGAGTTTGGCTCCCAAACTTTGCTTTTTAATGAAATCACCTGAAGGGTAAGTTAGTCAGCTTTTTTTGTCGCTGTGACCAAAAGACCTGACAAGAACAATTAGAGGAGAAAAAAATCTATTTGGCGCTCACAGTTTCAGAGGTCCATAGATGGCCAACTCCATTGCTGTGGCCAAAAGTGAAGCAGAATATCAGAGTGGAAGGGTGTGCTGGAGGAAAGCAGCTCAGAACCTGGCAACAAGGGAGCAGAGGGAACTCTTCTTACCAGGGACAAAATATATACCACCAAGGCACACCCACCTCCTCCAGCGACTTCCTACCAACCTACAGTTACCACCCAATTAATCCATTCAAGGGGATTAATGCACTATTTAAGACTCTCAGAATCCAATCATTTCACCTCTAAGCTTCCTTGCATTGTTTCACACATGAGTGTTTTGGGGGACACCTGGTATCTAAACCAGAACACAAGGGTCCTTGAAAAAAAATGCCTCTAGACATTCTGGTTTAATTATTCTTGGGTTTGACTGGGCATTGCGATGTTTAAATGCTACACAAGTGATTCCATTGCACAGCAAAGTTGAGGAATCCCAGCAATAGGGAAATTCGGCTTTCTGATTCTCAGTCTAATGCCCCACTCACTAGGAGGCATGGGAGGAAAAAGTAATTTATTTTGCTTAGGGAAAAGCTGATCATTGTATTGTAATAGACATGAGTTTAAGACTGAAATATCCTCACTCCTAATGTGTGTTATTGCTGCCTAAATTTCTGAGACTTGAGCAAATTCCCAAAGGCAGTAACTCCTGCCCCCCACCACACAGTCCTTTGTATCTCCCTTTTCTCTTGATGACTCCTTGTGATCCTTAGAATCTGTGAGGTGGGCAATGTCATTTTTTCCACAGCTGTGCAAGTGGGAAATCCAAGTGATTTGCCAACTAACCAGAAGGGAAGAGCCAGTGTGGGTCTTCAATATAGACTGAATAACTGCCGAGCTCAAACTCCTTGAGGTTACATTGCCAATTTCCTGGTCTCTAAAAATTAAGTTTAAAAATGGCTTCAGAGCCTGTTTTCCAGGTTCAAGAACTTGTCAAGTTGGAAATTCCATAGGGGAGAGGACAGTCTGAATGGTATTTCTTCTCACCAGTTGGTGACTACACCTTTAATCTGCACCTGAGGTGGGGGTGGGGTGAGGGAGTGGGGTGGGGTGCATGCAAAAGCTGAGCAATTTATTCCACTGTCGTCACCCAAATCTGAAAAATTGGAAGTAGTTGTTGATGGGCCTCTGGACCTTTGTATTTTTTGCCTCCTATATTTGAAAAATTCATCATTTGGGGCATCATGAAATCCCAGACACTGTTTAAGTCAGTGAAGTAACTCCAGTGGGTAGGGTTTTTGATGAAACCAAACTGATTTCTGTTATTGTAGACAGAAATTTGAGAAGACTAAAGACGCACACTCCCCACGTTCGTGTTCCAAATATTTAACTTGGATTAATCTATATAACAGCAGTGGAATGTTTTCTCACAAGCTGAGAGAGCTCAGAGAACTTAATACTATTTAACAATGTCAACTTTCTCTGTCAGGCAGATTGTGAATGGGTGAAAAATTAGCAAGACAAGCCATACAACATCATTTTTATGGAGCGGGGGAGATTTATTTCAAAACAATGTTACATTGTACAGTACAATGCAATCTGTCACAGATTAGCTAACATTCTAGTGGGACCTAACCTCTGGTAGAACAGAATAAAATTTCATTTTTAAAGGAAAGTTTTCTTTTAGCATCTTGCTCCTTTTTTCAGTTCTGTGTCTGCCTCCTGGTCCAACCTTAGGTCCTCCTCAAAGACCAAGCCCGTTTGCTCTTTGCAGGGCAGTTCACATGTAGAGAGATTATACTGCTATATAGGAAGCCAAAGAGCCCAGGTTATGGACAACACTGTTCTTTTATAACAAGGCTCTTTTGAGAACTATCCAAAGGGTTCCACAGGGACTATGTTAATCCTTTCCAAGGGCACTCCCCCAGTGACCTAAAGAACTCCCCTAGGTCCCAACTCTTAACATCACTACCCTGGGGACCAGGCCTCCAACACGTGAACCCTTGGGGGGCATGCTCAAATGATATGATCATAGCAATTGTCCTCAACTTAGTAGAGAGTGACAGCAATGGGAACCAGAAAAAAAATCTGAAGAAAATTGTATGTGTTTTGTATGCTCAGATCTCATTCTCGATCTCTTCACTTTTCTAAGAAATTTCCATAAGTTAGAGTGGTCACAGTCTTCAATGCCTGCTGAGGTCCAGTGTCACCCTGGGCAGCATGAGAAACAGCACAGAGGAGGGTAAACTGGGACAAAGTGTCAGATGGAAGAACAGGAGACCCCTAAGTCCTCCTCAGTCACCATCAGTTCATTGTCCTCAAAGCTGAATTTCTGATTCATCAGATGAGAAATGACTTTTGTTGAGAAACAGGGCCATTTTCAGAGTATTATGGAAATACCAAGAGCAGCTGCTAGGAACTGGCTTGCTTTCCATTCATAATTTTGAGCCTCTCAGTTGGACTCTCGTCTTCCACAGCAGAGAGAATGTTTATACTCGGAGTTTTCCACCCCCTTCCTTATTCTCATGCAGGTCTTCTGCAATCTGAGCTCCCATCAGTTTTTCTGGGTAAACAGTTCTTTCCAGATTTCTTATCCTCTTTGTTCACTCAAACAATGGCCTTTCTAACCAAGAACAAAGTTACGAGCAGGTGACAGATTATTTTTAATGCTGTCAAGACAAGTGGCTGTTTAATTTATGACATTTTCTCTCTGGAAGGCTGCCTTTATTCTTTGCAGATAGGGCAATTCAGAACTCTCCGCCTGAAATGCAAAATCCTCTGGAAGAGGAAGCACTAAGCAAAAAATCCTTTTCAGAAACTAGTCATTTGTCACTAAGGGAAGAGAGTTTCTTGGTTACCAGTTACATTTTGTAGGTCTATGTTAGTGTGGTGTCCACCTTTACCCTCTCCTTCACTCATTCAGTTCTGTGTCTCTTAAAATAGCCCTTGGACTCTCAAACTTTTGTCTATTCCCAGTGATGCAACTCCAGTCCCAGCTACTGTTATCTTCTGGGTGATGGCCATAGCTCTGAACTGATCTGTTCCCAGGGTTACTTCTGGCCCATCACTGTGTTGCAGTCAGACTGACTTTCCTAAATATGTGCATGTAATCCTGGCATTTCCTTCCTTAAAGTTCATCACTGTCTTTCCATAGTCTTTGGGATAAAAATTTTACCATGGGTTTCTTGCTTAAGTGTAGTTGCTACTTTATATTCTTCTCACCATCAGAATTCAGTTATCACATCGCTGCTTCTCTAGATCCC